GGCGCGGGAGCGGGGCGGCGCCGGCCCAGCCCCAGGTAGGGGGAGCTGGGCGGCTTTGTTTGGAGCCCGTGCCCCGCCGGCCAGGCCCAGCCCACACGCCCATTTCCCTCTCCGCGCCTCCGAGCTCTGGACAGCGGAGCTCCGGGGGCTCCGCCGCGCCGCGCTCGCTGCAGCCTTTGGGCTCATGGGTTGTTTTTTGTGTCCTGAATCAGATTAAGAGATAGTTGGGAAAAGCTCATTTTGCAAAAAGGTGCAAACGGCTATCCGATTGCTTTATTTCCCTCTGTTCTTTATTCTTACTCGTTCTCCCTGTTTTTCCTCCTTGCCTTTCTCGGGCACTAGAGGCTCCAGACAATGCCCAGTGTCTGGCCGAGGTGCGAGCGGAGGGGCAGTAGGTCGGAGGCTTGGCTCCGATGCTGCCCCGGCAGGGTGGAGGTGTGCAGGGCAGTGATTTCTCAGGTGCGCGAGCAAGCTCGCGGCTTGGGGGCGCTGTCCCGAGATCCGCCTGGCCTCGGCCACTCCCCTTTTTATCTCACCTGTGCATATTTTCCGTTCCTTTTGTTTGTGAGAATCATGCGAAATCACTGAAGAGAAGGGGCAGAAGTAACTTTTAAGTGTGTGTGTGTGCAGTTAGTATGGAAATGAAAGCAGATCGGTAATCGAAGGGCAAAATGCTCCACGCCTTCTCGTAGAGATTGTAAATTTTACAACTGGAAGATACTTTAGAGCTTATCTAATTAAATACGTGGCTAGCCAGCCCAGAAAATTCCTCTACAACATTTCGGACAACCGCTTGCCCAGTGTACAAACCCATCCCCCAGGAGAAAATACCTCGCTCACCTGTCCATTCCGTTTCTTAGATAACACTAATTGTTTTAATAATAGGGAGGATTATATGTAAATAAACGATGTAAAATTCAACTCTTACATTAGGGCTGAAGCATTATTGCCCCTTTCCCTTTTACTTTGTATCTTCTGTGGTTGATTGTACTGTGTCATTAATAAACGAAAGTTGAATAGTGTTATTTTCTATTTTTTTATAATTAAAAGCTGTTTATTTTTACATACTTAAATGTCAGAAGAAGCTAGAAGGTAAGCAGATACCTTTTTATTTAAAATTTCAGAATACTTTTCAACCCATAGGAAAACAGTGGAGGAATCTTGTTTAGGCTTAACTCAGATTAAAAAATTCATTTTGTATCACACAGTAGAAAAAGTTTTAAGGAAAAGCAATAAAATAGTGAATACTAAAATGAAACTTTTAAAGGTGTTTTTTTTTTAAAGTAAGGATATAATGCATTCGGAAACAATTTCAGTCCTCTAATGCCTCTTGTAATTTATTTACTTTTAGCATTTAAGTGCTGTCAGCAATTTGAAAAGGAAAACTGTAGGAGAGAGGGGAATGTGTGTTCTAATTAAAAATTGTTTTACTACTTGGGAGGCTGAGGTAGGAGGATGATAAATTCCACTTATCCTAGGCAAATTTAGTGAGACTTTTATCTTAAGAAAAATATATATGTAGATATACACATACGAATTTAAAAAGGGCAGGAATGTAGCTCAGTGCTCCCTGGTTCAATCCCTAGTACTGGGGGAATATAGTTATATATCTTTTACAAATCTTTGGAAAATATTTTAAAATTTTCTCTTAAATTTTAATAATTTCCATATTTAAAAATTCTTAGAGGACTTGAGGGAAGCATTAGAAACTACTTTAGAATCAACTAATATCAACTGGTTGTGTAAACCTTAGATTAACAGAAGTAGGTGGAGAGGACTATTGTTGGAAGTAGAAGAAACCTTAGGAAAATTAGACTCAACTTCCTATTTTCATCGTTCTGTTTTGAATAAGGGTATTGGACTTCCAGTGGATTGTAATGTAATACAAACACCTATACTATCTTTTGCTGTTGAGAGATTTTTTTTTTATGTGTGGGGTGCTGGGAATTGAACTCTTAAACCACATCCTCTGCTGCTTAAAATTTTTTTTAAATTTCGAGACAGTAGCTCATAAGGGCCTTGCTGAGTTGCCCAGGTTGTGCTTGAACACATAGTCCTCTTGCCTCTTTGCTATCTAGGGGTAATTTTCTCAGTTTCTGGGAACTAGAAGGTAGGTTCAACTATCTGATTTAATACATAGGAGCATATCAATCTTTTTAAAGTCTTGGTTTCTCTATAATCGTTGACCGTTAGTTTTAAGATTGTATAACTTAAAGGTACTGTTATTTACATTATATTATTAGCTAACTTCATTTGACAAAACTTACGATATCATTTTGGAAGACATTGAAAGATGTGTGTTGGGTATAGATGAGGTAGATTCTTTTTCTTTTATTGGTATATTTTAGGTAGACATAGTAATAATATTCATCATAGAGAATTTTTACCTGTACATGCTATATCTTGTTGCTTCTTTTTTTCCTATTCCCCTCCCCGCCAGCCTTCTTCCCCTCTTTGTTTACAAAAGCTTTGTTTCCATTCTTTCCTTCTATACATTTTGGTCCTTATTTACACTTTCAGTTTCTCACACCACAGACACAATGCGATATTTACACATGTGTCCAGTTTGTTTCACTTAAGAGTATGGGCTCAAGGTGCATCCATTTACCTAGGAGTGTAAGAAGCTTATACTTCTTTATGGCAGAGTAATACTACATTGTATAAAAAAGTCATCTTTATTCATGGGTTGATGGGCCTTTGGGCTGTTTCCAAGACAGCTATTATCAGCTGTGCAGCTGTACACAAGGGTGTGCATATATCACTGGTATGATGCTTTTGATTCTTTTGGGAAGATACCAAGAAAGGGAATAGCTGGATCAAATGGAACCTCTAGTTTTTTGAAGCATTTCCACACTGATTTCCACAGTGGTTGCACTAGTCCACACTCCCACCAACAGTGGAGAAAGGGTTCCTCTTTCCCCACAACCTGTCAGCATTTGTTATTAATTGATTTCTTGATAATTGTTATTTTTTCTGGAGATAGAATCTCAGCGTTGTTTTAATTTGCATCTCTCAAATGACCAGTTTTTATATATTTATTTGCTATTTAAGAACATGGATATCTTTCCATTTTCTGATCTCCTATTTGATCTCCTTTTCCACAGTACTGTAGTTTCTAATGTAGAGGTCTTTTACATCCTTTGTTAGATTGATTCCTAGGTATTTTGTTTTTTTGGATGCTATTGTGAAAAGCGTTGTTTCCCTAATTTCTCTTGTGTACAGAAAGGCTGTTGATTTTTGAACGTTGACTTTGTGTTCAGCTATGCTACTGAATTTAGTTATTAAATCTAGAAGTCTTTTGATGGAGTTTTTTTTGGTTTTTATGTAGAATATCATGTCATCTGCAAATAATGATAATTTACCTTCTTTCTTTCCTACTCTTACTCCTTTTATTTCTTACTCTTGTCTAATTGTTCTGGCTAGTGTTTCCAGAACTATATTGAATTAAGAGTGGTGACAGTGGGCATCCTTGTCTTGTTTTTGATTTTAGAGTGAAAGATTTCAGTTTTTGTCCAGTTAGTATGATGTTGGCTATTGATTTGTCATAGATGAATTTATCAGATTGAGAGAGAGAGACCTTCTTCTTTTTTTTTTTAATTTTATTTTAAAGATAAAAGGAGGGAAACATTAACAGACATACAACATTTTACAACATATCACAAGCACAGTACAGACAATACAGAGTTACAAACAAAGTGGTAGGGAATTAACAATGGTTGTTGTATTACATATTGATATCTTCAAAGTGGCTTCTCATCAAAACAGATATAGACATGCAATACTGGTCAACCAAAGACTCACTGACAGTTTCTTTCAGCATAGAAATAGAAGACAGAAGAACAACCATGTTAACTGTCATGTATATACATACATACAAAATTTCTTCTTTCCCTTCGAGAGAGAGACCTTCTGTTTTTATTTTCTGCAGGGTTTTTATTATGAGTGGGTTTTGGACTTTGTCAAATCTTTTTCTGCATCTGTTGAGATGATCATACGATTTTTTTATTTGGCTCTGTTGATGTAGTGTATTACATTCATTGATTTGTGTATATTGAACCATCCCTTTATCCCCAGGGTGGATTCTACTTGGTCACTGTGTATATTCTTCTTGATGATTCGCTGCATTGTCAGTGTCTTATTGAGGATTTTTGCATCTGTGTTCCTTAGGGAGATTGGTCTGTAGTTGTCTTTTTTTGGTTGGATCTTTCCCTGGTTTTGGTATCAAGGTAATGCTTCCAGGAATAACTTTTGAGTATTGCTTCCCTTTCAGTTTCATGAAAGAATTTGAGAAGGAGCAGCATTAGATCTTCTCTGAATTTCTTGTAGAATTCAGCAGTGAATCCTTCACTGTCTGGGCTTTTCTTTGTTGGTAACTTTTTAATTACATCTTCAATTTCATTGGTTGATATTGGTTTATTTAGAATTTTTGTATCATTGATTCAGCTTGGTAATTCATATGTATCTAGGAATTTGTCCAGTTCTTCTGTTTTCCATCTTAGAGTAGGTGTTGATGATCCTCTGGGTTTCTGCAGAATTT